GACAGCGGCAGGACAGGGCCAGCAGGGCCAGCAGGGCCGGTGACAGTGACAGGACAGGGCCAGCAGGGCCAGCAGGGCCGGTGACAGTGACAGGACGGGACAGGGAGCGCTGGAACAGCCGCTCCATCCCAGCCAGGATCGCCCGCCGGGATCCGGGGCAGGGCTGGCCCAGCTCGGCTGCGGACGCTGGAAAGTGGAAAGTTTCCAGGGAGGTAATAAATGCAAGTGCCCAGTTTGTTTCCTTTCCTTTCCTTCTCTTTCCACCCAGTTCCGCTCAGGCTCGGCCCGGCCCCGCAGCCCTCGGAGCGGGGACAGGAGCTGGGAGCTCGCGTTAATGAACTGCTGTCAGTTTGGGAATCCACGTTATATTCATACACAGAAAGCAGACAACCACATCACCCTCCATAGAAACTAGTGCATGCAAATAACTCTTCCTTACGGGAAAGGCCGGGGCTAGGCGGGAGGAGGGAATCTCTAGTGACGGACAGGCCTAGGGGGGTTAGTAGGAATCTCAACATTTTTTACCTCGGAAGCTAAATCAGTGCTTTGTATTAAATTTTTGGCAAACACACCGCGTTGCCATCCTTTCCATTAACACATCACACCATGGAGAAATGCAAATCGAAGCGGCATGCAGGCAAAAAGAACCCAAGGAAACAAAAAAAACCAAAAAACGAAACAAAACCAAAAATAAAAGAGCGGCAAAGTGAGAAAAAACAATGGCAGCGGGGAGAGCTGGGAAGGGCGGGATCGCCAAGAGGAGACACAGCAGGTTACATGGAGTTTGCTTTTGTTTTGCACCACCCTTTGTCCTCGATGCATGACACCAACGTTACAGAAAGCAACCACTACAGAGGTCAGGACTCAATGGCACGGGGGGATGGGATGTCTCCTGCACATGCTTCCACCAGAAAAGAGAAAAGAAAAGTGAAAATAAAAGTTCCTTTTTCCACATAAGGCACAGGACAAAGAAACCCCACTCACGGACTCAAGGCGAAAATGAAGTTTTTCCTGGCTCTTGCCTGATGCATCTAGAGAACATGGTGACTCAAGCACATGATCCATGACAGAAAATTCCACTGTTGTACGAAATCAATTGTTAATTCTAACCTTTATTCTTATACAATTTGCAGAAGAGAGTCGAGTATGATTGCTCTGGGGTTTAATGGCAGGAGGGACGGGGCTATAATACAACCCAAACGTAGTGGTGAGTTGAGCAGGGACATGGAAATGAAGTCACGGAGATGAATTTCCTATACATGTGTTGAGAAAATTGGAGTAGGCAAAGCTGTCCTAGCCTGGAAAACCAAGGGGAGGCAGGAGCTCGTTAAGATGAGGAACAAAAACATTGGTTTCAGGTTAAAAAACGGGCAGAGTGGTTTGTTTTGCAGCGAGAAAAAAGGGGCGGTGGATGGCGATTGGTGAGAGAGGAGAAGGTTCAGCAGCACTTGCTCTTCCAGCCCGTCACCCCACCGCCACTGCTGATATCTACATTTTCACTGTTGGGCTCTTTTACAGGGGTCTGCAAGGAAACAAGTGAACACAGTTAGATGGTTCTGGAGATCCCCAGGAAAACACTGGGAGCTGGGGAGCCAGCGGCTCACAGGGACTGACGTCACCAGATGAAACTGGGAGTCAGCTGTGCACAAAGAGCTCCACAGAAACGCAGGGAATCCTCCCCCCACTCCAGCACAAATGTGCAAAATCAATTTCAGTTGATTTTTTTTTTTTCCTCTCTTTGGTTTGTTTTAAATAAACAACTGGAAAGCTGAAAAAAAACCCCAATGCTTGAACTGGGATCACCCCAAAGTCAACTGGAACTATTTTAGGTCCTGCACACAGAGCCAACACTGGGTCTGGTGGAGTGAGGAAATCCCAGCCTACAAATAACACAAGCTGAACTCAAATTATGTGAACTAATGACCTCCAAAAACCACAACTTTTATGGATAAACTGGGCTTGTTCCCAGCCTCTGCTCCCTGCTCCTGGGACAGCAGCTCCCGAGGAACAGGGGACACACAGGCTCCTTGTCACAGGATGAACTTGGTGACCAAAGCCAAAACCCCACTCCAGTGGTTTGATCCAAAACCATCTACTGGCTGGTTGGAAAGGAACCTAAACCCTCAGCACACTTCAGTCTCCACATTTCTGTTTTAACTTTCTCACAGCCTTGCAAAAGAACCCCTGGGATAATGAGAGAGGCCAAAAATGAAGATTTAAGGCCCAAAGGTTGGTATGGTTTATAGCCTCAACTCCTGTCCACCAAAGGCCAGGGATTTTCACCCATTTATCACAAAAAGCTTGTCAAAAAGTGACTGAGAACTGCAGTGCCAGCTGATGGCACTATCCACAGCATCCACACGGGAGAGGGAGGAAGGCAGCGATGAGACAGGCTCAGGATGGGGCTCATTTGTGTAGGAACAGGAACACGAGTGCCAGGTTGGCCAACCCACATGTCTGGGGCTCCAGAGAGTTTCCATGACCTGCTCCTGGGCAGGAATGCTCCAGCACAGGGGTTTCTGTGTACACTGAGATTCTGTGATTCCTCAGCCATGGAACCACATCCCACGGAAACGGCCCCGGAGCCGCACACGGATCCAGCCCAGCTCAGTCCTGCAACACCTCAGTGGCACCTGCAGGAAGCTGCTGCATTCTGCACTCATGACAGAGCTCATGGCCACAGGTACAGCAGCTCTGGGCACACAGGGATCTGCTACAGGCCATGGAGACAACCTGGGGTGGCAGCAGGTGGCAGTGCCCGTCCCCTGTGCTGGCACTGCTGGGGCACCTCCAGTGCTGGGGGCAGCTCTGGGCCCCTCCTGACACGAGAGCCCTGGAGGGGCTGGAGCGTGTCCAGGGCAGGGAACGGAGCTGGGAAGGGGCTGGAGCCCCAGGAGAGGCTGAGGGAGCTGGGAAAGGGGCTCAGCCTGGAGAAAAGGAGGCTCCGGGGGCACCTTGTGGCTCTGCACAAGTCCCTGCCAGGAGGGGACAGCCAGGAGGGCTCGGGCTCTGCTCCCAGGGAACAGGGACAGGACAAGGGGAAATGGCCTCAGGCTGGGCCAGGAGGGTTTGGATTGGATATTGGGAACAATTCCTTCCTGGGAAGGGTGTCCAGCTCTGGCACAGAGGGATTGAAAAACCCTATGGATGTGGCACTTGGGGACAGGGAGCAGTGCTGGCTCTGGCAGTGCTGGGGGATGATTTGACTTGGTGCTCTCAGAGAGCTTTTCCAACCTCACAGATTCCACAGTTCCATGGCACACTGCACCTTTCAGCACGGGGAGCCAACCACGGGATGATCTGGTGCAACAGAACCCCCAAGGAAATGCCATGGCTGGGAGCTGATTCCTGGGAGCACAGCTGGGAGTGGCAGAGCTCCTTCCTGTCCCACCCTCCACACCTGAACTCTTCCCAAAAACCCCTCAGGAGCTGGCAGTGCATCCACAGACGGGGCAGGAAAGGACAATTCTCTCCATGCCAATGGAAATGGTTTAACTCCAGCACAGGCACAACAACCATGAGAGTAAAGTCCAAACAAACAGAAATTTCAGTTCCTTGGCTCTGATGGGTGTTACTCCCTGTGAACAGGCCCTCTACAACAACACAACATCAAACAAGCTTCAGAAGTTCAGCCCTGCTCCTTCAGGGACTCCTGTGCCTCAGCACAGCAAAGCCAAACGCTGCAACAATGCAGGTGAACATCACAGCAGTGAGAGGTGGAATTTCAGGGTAATTGTTCCAAAGGAAAGTGTGAGCACCTACCTTTCGAAGAATGTCTTCTGCTAATGTGAGGAATGCCTTCTCAATGTTTATATTTGCTTTTGCACTAGTTTCAAAAAACCTAATACCATGCTCCCTGGCAATCTGCAGCGAAACAGAGAGAGGGAGATTAGGGATCCTGGGGGTATTCCAGGTGCCATCATCACTTTGGGATCAGCAGCATTTATAAACCAGGGAATACTGGGCTGGATGGGAGCCCAGGTGTGCCCAGGTGGGCAAGAGGCCACTGGCCCTGGGCTGTGCCAGCTCTGGGGTGGCAGCAGGGCCAGGGCAGTGCCCGTCCCCTGTGCTGGCACTGCTGGGGCACCTCCAGTGCTGGGGGCAGCTCTGGGCCCCTCCTGACACGAGAGCCCTGGAGGGGCTGGAGCGTGTCCAGGGCAGGGAACGGAGCTGGGAAGGGGCTGGAGCCCCAGGAGAGGCTGAGGGAGCTGGGAAAGGGGCTCAGCCTGGAGAAAAGGAGGCTCCAGGGGCAACTTGTGGCTCTGCACAAGCCCCTGCCAGGAGGGGACAGCCAGGAGGGCTCGGGCTCTGCTCCCAGGGCACAGGGACAGGACAAGGGGAAATGGCCTCAGGCTGGGCCAGGGCAGGCTCAGCTTGGCCAGCAGCAGGAATTTCTGCCTGGAAATGGAGCTCAGGCCTTGGCAGGGGCTGCCCAGGGAGCTGCTGGAGTCTCATCCCTGGAGGTGTGCAGGGAATTCCTGGATGTGGCACTCAGAGCTCTGGGCTGGGGACAAGGTGGGGATCAGGAACAGCTTGAATTTGATGCTCTGGGAGCTCTTTTCCAGCCTCAGTGTCTCTGGGATTCTGTAACCCCCTCAGCCCCAGTGGGTGTAACCAGCAGCACCAGCCAGGTGAGGTGGCTCAGAAGATTCAGAACTTTACAATTCAGAACCATTAAAATCTACTAAATAATCCCAAGTCTGTGTCTGGGCCTAAGAGGTCAGACACCACACACTGTCACACACGAGGAATTTCAGGGATGACTGGGAATTTTGAGTTATCAAAGGAAGCAGAAACTGCAGCTGAACTCATCCCATTCAGGGCAGTTTCTGAGAAAACATTCCCAGGACTCACATCCATCAGCTCCTGCATTCATTCCCTGGCACATCCCACTGGGGCATCCCAACCCCCTGGAGCAGGCAGAAGCCTTGGCAGTGATTTGCTGATTTGAATAAAGAAGTTCTTGTTTGATACTCACCTGTTCACCTTTTGCTTTAGGGACAACTCTTTTATCTTCCATGTCACACTTGTTTCCTAACAGCATCCTCTCCACATCCTCGTTGGCATGCTGGAAGGACAGGGGGACAGGGTTACACATCTCCTGCTGCACTTTGCTGTGGCCAGGCCACCACCTACAGCTGCCCACAAAGGAGCTTCATGCACTGCATGGCACAGGAACGAGCTGTTAATTAACCCCAGCCTCCTAATGACTTCCTAGCACTGGTTAATGGTTTCCTCCCATCTTTGCCACTGCACAAGGGATGAGCCAGGAGAGAAAGAGGGGCTGGGGAGGAAAACAGGGACAGAACCCAGAGGGAGAAATGAGGGAGAGAACAGAAAGCAGAGAGTGGGGCAGGGTCTCCCAGGGGAGCGGGGTGGGGAGGGGTCGCAGTTTCCTGCAGGAGAATGCAGTGTCAGCCTGGGCAGGGATGAGGAATCCCCAGATCCAGCCCATTCCCTGCAGCACGGGTCTCTCTGGAGGGGGAATGTGGATCATTTCTCATCAGTCCTGGTGAGCTGGGAAGGTCCTGTCTCACTGCAGGCTGGCCAGTGTGATGCCAGCCCCCAAGAAATACTGAAGGAGGATCCAGGAACTCCAGGCCTGTCCTTGGAGCTGGGGAAGGTCCTGGATCAGATCACCCAGGGTGCAGGACAAGCAGAAGATCAGACCCAGCCAGTGACAGGTCCTGCTTGACCAACCCGACCTCCTATGACAGTGTGACCTTAATGGATGAGGGAAAGGCTGTGGATGCATCTGCCTGGGCTTTGATGAAGCCTTTGGCACCTTTTCCCATGGAATTCTCCTGGCTGGTCCTGGCTCAGAGAGGTGCACTCTGCTGGGGATGGAGGCACATCCAGCTGGGAACGGGCACCAGTGGGCTCAGGGCTGCCTCAGGCCTGCTCAGCACCTCCATGGATGCTCTGGACACAGGGATGGAGGGCACCACCCTGGCCCAGCTCATGGACAGCCCCAGGGGGGTGGGATGTGGATCTGCAGAGGGCTCAGCACAGGCTGGAGCCATGGAGGGTCAACAAGGCCAAGAGCTGGGTCCTGCACTGGGGTCACACCAACCCCATGGAATGCTCCAGAGGAGCTGGAAAGCTGCCAGCCAGGAAAGGACCTGGGAAAAATTAATTCCCCACAGGCTGCCCAGGCAGGGGGGGAGTCCCCATCCCTGAAGGGATTTAAAAGTGGATGTGGCACTTGGGGACATGGGGCAGGGGTGGCCTTGGCAGTGCTGGGGGATGGTTGGACTCCATGAGCTCCAAAGGATTTTCCATCCTCAATGACTCTGTGATTTCTGCAGACACTGAACTCCCTTAATAAAGACACGAGGGCACCAAAAGCCCTGATGGGGCCAATGACATCCATCACTCACCTGGGACACCTCTGAGGTTTTTAGCAAAGCAGCTGCAGAATCCAAAGGCCTCAGTTTTACTCCAACTCACTGCTGAGTCTCTTCCCGTGCTGCCTCATCCCCTCTCCTGTTCCCACCACACAGGGCACTTCTCCAGATACATGACTGTGTCCCACTTCTCATGCTGGGAAATTCAAATCCCAGCATCCCAATTTTGCTGTGCTGCTCTGTCCAGCCTCAGGACTCCAGCGAGCAGTGCCTGACAGCCCTCACCTGTGCTCAGTTCTACAGGACCATCTCTGTGCTTTCTAGGAAAATCCAAACATTTATTTCACCTGGGAACAGCACAAAAAAACCCAAGAACTACCAGTTGTGCTGCTCTCTTGCCATCTCAGAACTCCTGGAAGATGAACTCGTGGGGATCCAGGCACTTAATGCTTCCACATCACTTTCTTCTGCTTCACTTGACCTTGCCCAAAATTTTCCAGCCTCCCTGTCCTGGTTCTCCTCTGCCAAAGGAGCGATCAGCTACACAAACCCTCCCAAAAGCAAAGCTACGTGCACCAGCCACGAGAAACCTCCAAATATTTCATCACAAGATAACAAGGGAGAGGAGATGGAGACACTTAATGACCTTTGAGGATTTCCACTCTCACGCTGCGGAAATGCTCCTGTGAGTACCAACACACAGCGCAGCTACTCCGCCCTCACCGTGTGCTGTGAGCCGCTCCCAGCCCTGCCCTTCTCCCTTCCCACCCCCCTGAGCACAGGCACAAAGGGCTGGCACTGCTGGGGACGCCGTGGGACCTCACCTCATCGATGTTCCTGAGCCATTTGCTGATGTTCTCGAAGCTCTTGGCGTTGGTGATGTCGTACACCAGCATGATGCCCATGGCCCCTCGGTAGTAGGAGGTGGTGATGGTGTGGAAGCGCTCCTGTCCCGCCGTGTCCCTGCGGAGACACCACGGCATCGTCACACACATGGACAGGATGCTTGGGCTTCTATGTGCAACAGCTGAACTGTTATTGACATCCTTTAGATTTATATTATATATTATTTATCCTATATATTTCTATAAGGTGATGTGTTTGTATTTAATTGGTCAGCAAGTTATTTTTTTTTAATAAGAATAGATTGTCCCTGCGGAGACACCACGGCATCATCACACCATGGACAGGATGCTTGGGCTTCTATGTACAACAGCTGAACTGTTATTGACATCCTTTAGATTTATATTATATATTATTTAGCCTATATATTTCTATAAGGTAATGTGTTTGTTTAATTGGTCAGCAAGTTATTTTTTTTAAATTATTATTTTAATAAGAATAGATTGTCCCTGTGGAGACACCACAGCATCATCACACCATGGACAGGATGCTTGGGCTTCTATGTACAACAGCTGAACTGTTACTGACATCATTTAGATTTTTATTATTTAGCCTATATATTTCTATAAGGTAATGTGTTTGTATTTAATTGGTCAGCAGGTTATTTTTTTTTAATTATTATTTTAATAAGAATAGATTGTCCCTGTGGAGACACCATGGCATCATCACACACATGGAGAGGATGCTTGGGCTTCTATGTACAACAGCTGAACTGTTATTGACATCCTTTAGATTTATATTATATATTATTTAGCCTATATATTTCTATAAGGTAATGTGTTTGGAAATGTAGGTCATGGTTAGTGTATATATTCATTAAACATTTTTTTTTAAGATAGTTCACATTTTTTGTTTTTTGGAAAGTGAGTGTTTTATATGGGTAGAATTTTCTTTTTTGTGATTGTGAGTTGTTTTTGTAAGACTAGATTGCTATGTAAATTGATTTTTATTTTTATGATTTTTATTTATAGGAACTTTTTAGGTTAGTTGTTAGCTTAGTTGAAATAGTAAAGCTAGATTTTATAAGGTTGTTTTTCTTAATATATATTATGGGTTTTTAGCATGTTGTTATATATATAATCTATAATCTATAATAGAATATAATATATGTTATTATATTATATATACCCACAGCATTATCACACACATGGAGAGGATGCTTGGGTTTTTATGTAGAATAGCTGAATTTTTATTTACATTGTTTATATTTACAGGAATATTAGAAGGTATCACGTTTGAATTTAATTGGTCAGTAAGTTATTGAAACTTAGGTCATGATTAGTGTATATATTCATTAAACATTTTTTTTTAAGATAGTTTACATTTATTGGGTTTTGGAAAATGAGTGTTTTATATGGGTAGAATTTTCTTTTTTGTGATTGTAAGTTGTTTTTATAAGAATAGATTTGTTATGTAAATTGATTTTTATGATTTTTATTTACAGAAACTTTCTGAGTTAGTTAGTTGAAATATCAAGGCTTGATTTTATAAGATTGGTTTTTTAATATATATATTATGGGTTTTCAGTATGTTTTTATATATATAATATATATAATCTATAATAATCTATAATAGAATATATTATATTATATTATATTATATTATATTATATTATATTATATTATATTATATTATATTATATTATATTATATATATTATATATATATAATATATTATATATATTATATTATATATATTATATTATATATTATATTATTATAATATAATATTATTATATTATATATACCCACAGCATTGTCACACACATGGAGAGGATGTTTGGGTTTTTATGTAGAATAGCTGAATTTTTATTTACATCCTTTAGATTTCTATAAGGTATCGTGTTTGAATTCAATTGGTCAGTAAGTTATTGAAACTTAGGTCATGGTTAGTGTATATATTCATTAAACATTTTTTTTTAGATAGTTTACATTTACTGGGTTTTGGGAAGTGAGTATTTTATATGGGTAGAATTTTCTTTGTTGTAGGTGTGAGTTGTTTTTGTAAGAATAGATTGCTGTGTAAATTGATTTTTATGATTTTTATTTACAGGAACTTTCTAAGTTAGTTTAGTTGAAATAGCAAGGCTTGATTTTATAAGGTTTTTAATATATAAATCTATCATTCATATATGATGGTTTTTAATATGTTTTAATATGTTTAATGTGTTATCATGGTTTTTAATATGTTTTATATATCTTTAAATTATATATATTATTGTATTATACATACCCACAGCATCATCACAGAGATGGGTAAGATGCTTGGGTTTTTATGGAGAATAGCTGAACTTTTATTTACATCCTTTAGATTTCTCTAAGATATCATGTTTGAATTTAATTGGTCAGTAAGTTATTGAAACTTAGGTCATGGTTAGTGTATATGTTCATTAAACTTTTTTTTTTTGATAGTTTACATTTTTTGTTTTTTGGAAAGTGAGTTTTATATGGGTCGAATTTTCTTTCTTGTAGGTGTGAGTTGTTTTTTTAATAAGAATAGATTGTTATGTAAATTGATTTTTATTACAGGAACTGTTTAGGTTAGTTGTTAATTTAGTTGAAATAGTAAGGCTTGATTTTATAATTTTTTATATATTTTTTAATTCAGTCTTATAAAGCTCCAACTTGATCTTGCAAATGTATATTCCTGACATTTCTGATCAAAGCCTGTGGAACATCAGTCAAGCTGTGCTGTTAAATGTTGGTGTCTGTCAGCAATGATGAAAACTGATCACAAAACATCAATGACAGCCTGGATTTTCCCTTCTCCTTCTGGGATCTTTGCTGGGATGGATGAGGTGTGGCTACATGGCAGCAAGGTGGGAATTAGCTGCATACTGAGAATTAACTGAGAATTCATTTGAAAATCATGAATGAAGAATTAACTGCACATTCTGCAGCGTCTCTCAGAGGCCACAAACCCCAGAGACTGCAGGTTTGGACATTTCCAGTGGCACTGTTCATGGAAGAAGGACACAGAGCTGCTGGAGGCCACGGAGATGTTCCAGGGTGACCTCAGAGCCCTTCCAGGAGAGGGACTGGGGACAAGGGCTGGAGGGCCAGGAGCCAGGGAATGGCTGCCAGTGGCAGAGGGCAGGGCTGGATGGGATTTGGGGCAGGAATTGTTCCCTGGCAGGGTGGGCAGGCCCTGGGGGTGGGCAGGCCCTGGCACAGGGTGCCCAGAGCAGCTGGGGCTGCCCCTGGATCCCTGGGACAGTGGGAGGTGTCCCTGACATGGCAGGGGTGACACTGGATGAACTTTAAGGTCCTTTCCAACCCAAACCATTCTGGGATTCAGTGATTCTATGACAAGGCAGAATCAAAGGTTTCTTCACATTTAAACTGGTCTAAATCAAGGTTACACTCTCCATAAGCTGCTGCAGAAAGGCCCAGGGTGTCCTTGGCCCACAGCTCCTGGCTCACAATGCACACTGATCCCCTTCTGCTCCTGGAGCTGGTGACACCAGGGCGAGGACAAGGAGCAGAGGAAGAACCAGGCAGGTCCCAAACCCGAGCAGCTCTGCCAGGGATGCCCTGACAGGCCCAGGTCACTGGCTGTGGCCTCAGGGGGTAACTGATTCCATCCCCAGCTCCACAAACCACCCAGGGATCCCCTCACTGTTCCTGAAAATGTCTGATGTGCTGCTGGGAACCTTCCCCAGCCTGCACTGACTGGCCAAAGATCTCAGGTACAGCCTCAGCTCCCACTGCTCTGGACTGTGCCCGATTGCCCATGTCTCAGAAAAACCCAGGACACTCCAGCTGGAGCCTCAGCAGCCCCACACTGGGATATTTCCAGGCATTCCTGTTTACTCGTCCCACTCCCTGGCCTCACGGTGAGCACACTGCTCTGACATCCCACACTCAACTCCAGGACTTGGCATTTGGCTGCACTGACTTTCACAGGACTTTTTCCAGTGACATTTCTCCAGCTGGCTGAGAACAGCTGGAATTATAACCCACTCCTCGACTGGATTTAAACTTTACAGCTTCACCTTTTCTGGCTTCTCTTCAACACAAGACCCACAGTCTATCCCCTTATCCCAGCTGTTAACTCTTCCCTGGCTGGGTGGGCTGGACATTGGGGCTGGGAGCACCTGGGACAGTGGGAAGGGTGGGATGGGATGGGCTTTAAGGTTCCTTCCCACCCAAACCATTATGGGATTCCATGAAGTAATCTGGGGCAGTTTAATCCTTTAATTGATGTTTTTCCTAGCATATCCCAGAGAGAGAGGGATCCTCTCATTCACTCAGGACAAACTCCTGCAAAATATCTCCACTCACAGCCTCATTATTTCTTCTCTCCCCACTTGCTAGCACCTTCCCCCAGGTTACTCCCTCCCACTGGCTCCTGCCGAGCAGGACAGTGCTGGAAAAGCTTTACCAAGCCTATCAGACATTTGGGATCTGATTCCTCCCTCCTGCCACAGCCAGCAGCTGTCACAGGAACAATTCTGAGTGGTTTTACACAACTTGGCGTTGGCAGCACGGAGCTGCTACTCACTGCTTGTCACATCCTACAACTGACTCGCCTGGTTAACTCCTCCACTGTTTTTTCTGGCAACTGGAGCTCAGCTAATGGAAGAGAAGAAAGCTGGGGAGGGAAGAAGTGAAGAACCTGGAGTGTTTCCCTTTTTTTTTTAATAAATACTATAGCTGCCCTTTCCCCTGGTTAATGGATTCTCCATTCATTATTCAAAGATAACTCCTAATGGATGGGAGATTAGAGCTGGCTGAGGCAAACAGGGGAAATGAGTTATGGTTCTCCAGGTGCCCACGAGGGCTGGATCCACCCTGGGCAAACGGCAGGGGACAGTCAGAGCAGGCAGGTCCTGTTTGCTGCCCTGGCTCCCCAGCCCTTTGTTCAAACCTCTGGGATGTGGGAGCAGGCTCCAAAGCTCTGGGTGTAGGCACAAACATGTGTGAGCTGGCTCAGTCTCCCAGCTCACACTAATGTGGGCAAGGATTATTGAAACAGCCAAGGAAAATGAAACACGGGAGGAAAGGGAGAGAGCAGGGATCTTCAGCTTTGTGAAGACAAAGGAGGTTGTCCTGTGGGACTGGGGAAAGGAGATGCTCAAGGAAAGTGAAAAATCTATTTGAATTATTCTCATGCCAACATTAAAATATGCATAAGCTGTATCATATTAGAGGTTTAACCTGGAGAGAAAGGAATTTCTGGGACAGCTTTCCAGCTGACCTGGCAGAGACAAAAGGAACCTTAAAATGTATTATGATTTATTGATGAATGATTTATACAGCTGCAGCAAGAAGAGATTAGATCTGCTGATTTGTGAGCATCCTCCCAGTCCACGTGGCTCAAAATGAAGGTCTTCAACATATTAAACCAAGTAATTCCTAGCAAAATAATCCCAAGTATTTTATTACTGCCCCACTGTTGTTACATTTGCAGAACTGTGCAGCCCAGTGCTGCTTTGGAGAGACTGGGGAATGCTGGAGCTGCAGTTTCCAAAGGGAAAAGTGGCCCTGTCCAGCCTGTCCAGCCTGTCCAGCCCAAGGCTCGGCACTCCTGGCTGGGATAAACCAGGGATGTTTATCCCTGTGGGGATGGAGGCACATCCAGCTGGGCACCAGTGGGCTCAGGGCTGGATGTGCCTGCTCAGCACCTTCATGGACATTCAGGGTGGCCTCAGTCAGCCCATGCACTGAGAGGAGGTGCTGGAGGAGAGGATGGCTCTGCAGAGGGATCTGGACAGGCTGGATCCATGGAAAGGGAGCTCAGGCCTTGGCAGGGGCTGCCCAGGGAGCTGCTGCAGTCTCATCCCTGGAGGTGTGCAGGGAATTCCTGGATGTGGCACTCAGAGCTCTGGGCTGGGGACAAGGTGGGGATCAGGCACAGCTTGGGCTCTGTGGCCACGCAGGGATTTTCCCACCTCAGTGATCCTGGGATTCTGTGCTCTGTCAGGTACTTCATGACTGGCAAATTTCAGCTTTTCTGGATAATACTCAGCCAGGAAAAAAGAAATCCAGAACGAGAGAATGATCCAATTGTTTTACAGGACTGCCATGCCAGAGGAAAATCTTCCACCTGGAGTCTCAAAAGCCCTCAGCAAACAGAATTAACTGCTAGACACTCTGAGGGCAATTGCAGGAATTAATGAGGCTGATGGCACCCGGGGAGTGGAGCTGTGTGCAGCTCTGGCTGGTCACCAGCACGCTCCCTGAACGCCAGAGCCTGCACATCACAGGGAATTTCCACACCTGGAACGACTCAGGATGGCAACACCACTCTGCTGCCACCTGCACACTCATGCCAGGACAGGGGATTGTTTTTGACATGAGCTGATTGCTGAATTAACCAAGCTCCTGAGGACACTTCTCTGCCCATGTAAATGAGAGAAAAATGTTATTTTATAGTCCTCTGCACAGCTAGGAGCTGCACACCAAAAACATAAAACTGTTCCTAAAATTTGGAATCAGTCAGGAAAACAGGCTGACACACAAATGTCATTAAAGATAGGAGAGTTGGAGGAGAAGCTAAGTAGGAATAAAAGAAAAAAAAAATAGATTTTTAGCTGTTACATTCCTTTGAGCCTGTGCTTTGACACAAACCCAACTCTGATTTTTGTGCCTCCTGACAAGCACCTCAGAGCTCCACCTGGGCAGCCCAGAGGTTTTCCAGCTTCCATTTCCCAGTGGTTAAGGAATTCTGGAACCAGGGATCCCCTCAGTGGATTTAAGAGTCCAAATCTGACCATGCTCTTGTAAAATCCTTTGTGAACCCATCCATGCACACCTGCAGCTACCACTACATCTCATGAGGAGTGTCCTAGCAAAACTTCATTTCCTGGTGTTTTCCATGTGCCACTTTCCAGCCTCAGGCCAGAACTGGTGTTCTGGTGTTGGAAAAAGGCAGCAAATTCTATCAGACCCTTCCTACCTGCTCAGGACACGCAGGATTTTAAAGATGTGCTCTGACATCCTGAAGGTGCGTTTCTCAAGGGCTACATTCTGTTCATGACTTCTGGGAACTCGAGGATGCCAAAGCCTTTTGGTTTCCATTTCAAAGCAACTCTACCTGAGTTCTTGAATGTGGGATATCACACTCAAGTTTTACCCTTGTCCCTTTGAAATAGTCCCTTTGAAATATTTCAGTGTTTTCCCAAAGCCTGCACCATCTTTTCCTGGATCTCTCACTGTGGTCCTTCATTCTTTCTCTGCACCGTGACAGTGTTAATATCTTGCAGACATTCAGCACTGTAAACCCCTCCAGGTCCCCCTCTTTTTAAGTGTTTCCACTCCCAAATATGCATGAATTCCTTTCCCCCAGATCCTGGACCAGGCCAATCATTAGTGACTGTCCCAGAGATGAGCTGGACAATAACCCAGCCAAGGAGATCCTCAGTTCCTGGACGTGCTTCCACCCAGAATCTGACACACAGAGGTTCTCCTGATGGATCTGGATAAGCTCATTCCTTGGGAAGGCCAGTCCAGGGCTGTGTCCCACCCTGCTCCTCACAGGCACATTTACATTTGGAGCAGCAGGAGAAGCTCTAATCCCAGCCTGATCCTTCCAGAGCAGCACCCCCAGCTTTAAGAGCTACTGAGTATCAAGTTGCTCCTCACCCCAGGCAGGTTTTAATTCAGCCTGACCTTTGTGTTCTTGCTTTAGTCCTAAATATAAATTTCAGAGGTCAGGGCACGGCTGTGAGACTGTCACGAGGGTGCTTTTTCCATGCCCAGGAAGAGGGAAGAGCTGTCCTGCTGTGGGCTGTGGTTGTCACACCTGAAGGACGGGGCCATCCAGAGGCACTTGGATGAGCTCCAGACGTGGCCCATGGGAATCTCATGAGGTTTCCTAAGACCAGCTGCAGGTCCATACTCTGGAGAAGGAAAAGCTCCAGAGCAGCCTCAAGTTTACACAGGAAAGGTTCCCCTAAATCCATCCTCATCTCACTCAGCTGCTGCCTTGGATTGTTCTGGGAATGTTGCACAGCTCCTGCCAGTGTGGAGTGAGTTCAAAGGCAGGAAGCAGTGGGGAAATAGAGATGCACTGCACAAAACACCTTCACAAGACACTGAGCCTCTGCTGGGCAAAACTCCTGCACCAGGAAAAGTTAGAAACACAACACTGATATTTTATTTATTTGAATTTTTTTTTTCCTTTTTTCCTTTTTTTTTTTTTTTTGTCTGTAGGAGCTTCACTTTCTGCTTTCCAAATTTCATTTCAAATGTGCAATCTGAACCTGGCAGAAACAAACAGTAGATTCAGGCCACAACTTCCCAATTTTGTGACATGTAAAAGTTGCCACTGTATAAATCTCAGCTCACCCAACTCCACTTCCCTAAGGCATTAAACCCCACAATCTGTACAGCTTCATTACATTGTGCTCTTCATGCATTAAATATTCTTTAATTAAATATTAAATTCCATATTTTCTGTTTTTACATTTCATGATGATTTTCTTTTTAAGTTTAATCCTAGAGTCATGGAATGGTCTGGGTTGGAAAGGACCTTAAAGTTCATCCAGTGTCACCCCTGCCATGGCAGGGACACCTCCCACTGTCCCAGTGCCCAGCCTGGCCTTGGGCACTGCCAGGGATCCAGGGGCAGCCCCAGCTGCTCTGGGCACCCTGTGCCAGGGCCATCCCCATCCCTCTGGCAGTTCTAACACTTCCTCAGGCTGCTGGTGACAAGAGGACTTCAGATGCCCTGGTCAGGAAGGATAATCACTCAGGATTATCCTGGAATGACTGGGAAGACCAGTGTCCCTCCAAACTGGAACCCAGCCACCTTCACCTACAGACACCAACGTTACAAAGCCATGGGATTGCTCTGAGTGGGACACAAGGGACAAATCCCAGCTCAGAGCTCTTCAGTGAAGCTGGAGAACGCAGATGTGAGCAGGGAGCCCAGCCAGACCCACGGGCCAGGAAAAGCCACCGGCTCTCCTGACCTGACCTGCTGGAAAGCCTCTGGTTAAAAGCACAGAAGCTCAAAGGAAGGAGTTGAGGCTTTGCCTCTTGTCAGACATTCCCACAGAGCAGCCGTGTTCCAGCCAGCTGAGAACCTCTCCACAGCTGAGCATGGAAAATTCCAGCCCAAGTGCAGCCCTGGATTGCATTTTCTGCTGACACAAAGCAAGGCTACGACTCAATTTATAGTCACAGACTGGAGGCAACTCCTAATTTAAAAATTCCAGTTTTAAACCACTTCCCACTAAATCACAGCCTGTGAGGATGCTCTCCCCACCAGCAGGAGGTTTGCCAGCAGCCAGGTCCAGTGGTTACAAACACTGCTGCTGCTCCAGTCGCACATGTGGAGTGTTACCACTGTGGAAACACAGAACACAGCTGCAAACCTGCATCCCTGAACAGAATTCAGGAAGAGCAAACTCTCCCCAGGAACACCTGCTGCTGAAGGAAGCTGTATGTTACTCACCAGATCTGTAGCTTGATCTTCTTTCCTTGCAATTCAACAGTTTTAATCTTGAAGTCTATCCCTAAAATAAACAAACACATAAATAAGTCATTAGTGTTTATTTATCAAAAAATTAAAAAAAACATAATTAAAAAAAAAAGAAATCAATTCCACATCAACTCTGAACAGCTGAGACAGAACAGCAGGTTTTTTCTTCTTTCACTGAACTGCCAGGTAAACCAGGGATGTCCAGGGACACTGAAATGGGAAAGGAGCTGGGAGAGCAGGAGGGCCTCAGGGAACACACTGGAATACCCTGAGCAGGAAGGACCCACAGGGATCATCCAGTCCAGCTCCTGGTGCTGCCCAGGACACCCCAAGCATCCCCTCTGTGCCTGAGAGCGCTGTCCAAAGGCTCCTGGAGCTCATTCCCTGGGGAGCTGTTCCAGGGACAGGGGCTGCCCAGCACACACAGGGTTTGCAGAGCTTCCACAGGGATGCAGAACGGCTCAAGCCACTCAAAGCTTTAACCAGAGAGGAAAGGTGAATTATCAGAGCTCAGTGTCCTTGTCCAGACACATCCCTGCTTCAGCTTTGGGTATGGGACAGCCAAAGCCAGCCTTGGCAAAATGTCACCAAGAACTCAGCCAAGCACAGACCATGCCCACGGACCATGAATAGGATTTTACTTTCAATACCAACTAATAGAGGAAGTCCCCAAGTGCCACATCCACAGGGTTTTTAAACCCCTGCAGGGATGGAGACTCAACCCCTGCCCTGGGCAGCTGTGCCAGGGCTGGAGAGCCCTTTCCATGCAGGAATTGTTCCCAATATCCAGCCTGAGCCTGCCCTGGCCCAGCCTGAGGCCATTTCCCCTTGTCCTGTCCCTGTGCCCTGGGAGCAGAGCCCGAGCCCTCCTGGCTGTCCCCTCCTGGCAGGGACTTGTGCAGAGCCACAAGGTGCCCCCAGAGCCTCCTTTTCTCCAGGCTGAGCCCCTTTCCCAGCTCCCTCAGCCTCTCCTGGGGCTCCAGCCTCTTCCCAGCTCCGTTCCCTGCCCTGGACACGCTCCAGCCCCTCCAGGGCTCTCGTGTCAGGAGGGGCCCAGAGCTGCCCCAGGATTCAACCTTCTCTTCCCAAAGCTGCCACAAGAATTACAGCAGAGGCTACACCAGAGCAGGAACATTCCAAACCATCCCCTCAAACCACTCTGACTCCAATTAGATGCCACTGTTCCAACTTTCAATTCCAATCACAGAATACCACTGATCATTCCTCATGCTTTCCAAAAACCTGTTTATATTTAGACTTTTTAAAAGGCAGCAGCTGCAATCCCAAACTTCCCTCCCAAACCTACCAAGGTCACTTTTTACCAAGGAAGATTAAACAGAATTTATGAAATGCACCATTACATAAGAAGTTTGCATGGGAGCTTTGCTTTGAACTCCTTTTAACCAACACCCAGAACTTCTTGGGCTGAGAGCTGGACACAGAAACTCCCAGCTCTGGGCTGGGCACTGGAAGGACATCCCTGGAGGAGTCCAAGGAAGGCCTGGACATGGCACTCAGTGCCCTGGGCTGGGGACAAGGTGGGTTCAATGATCCTGGAGGGCTTTTCCAACCTGAAGAATTCTGGGATTTAAAGCCCTGCAGTGACTCGAGGCCAAGGCTGTAATTAATCCCAGGATGGCAGCCTGGGACCTCCTGCCCATCTCAGGTCAGTGCTCCTTTGTTTGCAGCCCCAGCACTGCAAACCCTCACACTAGGTTACATTTATGAATCAGTGGATTAACTATCACACAAACGTGACTGGAAATATAAACCTGCTAAATGATCGACTGCCAAGATACAAAATTGCCCCAAATCCACCCAGCCCTGTATTTTTTCAGCATTTCAGGGAGTTGTTTGCTGCCATATCGTGTCCCCAGCAACAAAACCAAACAAACGAGCACCAAACATGAGAAATTAAATATTTTATATGGTGACAGTTACTTCTGGGCTGTGCCCAGGTGAAGCAGAATGTTTAAGAGCCATTTTTTATGTGTTAAGATAAAGTAAATTATTAACCCAGCCAAGGAAATTAACTCTTCTCTGCGCTCTGAGGGATTTAGCCAACTCCAGTATTTGGGGATAAAATAAATCTCTAATCTCATGTTATACTCAGCTCTCATTCCAATATAATACCAGTTCAGCCTTCAGAACAGAAAGGTTGTTATAAATAGCAATGTATCTCTCTGGAAATGCTTCCAAAGGAGCTCCAGGACTGGGAAAAGGAGACTCCAGTGTGGCTGTAGTGCCTGTCCAGTCCGAGGCTGTTGACAATAAACAGCAGAAACACAAAGGCTTCCCAGAAAACAGACATGGGGAGGTTTCCAGGAAAATTCAGTTCAGGAAAGAGCTGAAGAGGGTAACGGGTATAAAACCTGACTGGCTGAAGAACTGAAGAACAGACATCTCGTCATCACAGGGGGATAATGACAGAGCTCATGAATTAAAGATGAGCATGAAATTACTCCCTCATTAAGTGTTGGTAAGATATTTATCACCTTCAGCAGGACAAGCTGGGAAAACCTGGAAGAATACAGCCAGGCTTACAAAAATCTTACACATTGCACATGTTCCAATGAAGCTATGGAAATGTTCTCTACCCTTCAGGACAGCTCACAACAGGCAGAGCCTCACTTCTGTGGTTCCCAGCTCACTTCTGCATTTCTTTCCCATTCCCAGTCTTCCACTTGTTGCTCTGAGCAGCCTGGGGGAGCTGAGAGGCTGGACATGAGAGCCCCAAACCTCCCATGCCCTGGGCTGATCCCCCAGGGTGGGCAGCAGGGATGAGGGATTCTGCCCCTGTGCTCAGGTGAGACCCCAACCCCATCCTGTTGAGGATCCCAACAGCACAAGGAGCTGGAGCTGCTGGAGAGAGCCCAGAGGAGGCCCCGGAGCTGCTCCAGGGCTGGAGCCCCTCTGCCATGGAGCCAGGCTGGGAGAGCTGGGGGTGCTCACCTGGAGAAGGATCCAGGGAGAGCTCAGAGCCCCTTGCAGGGCCCAAAGGGGCTCCAGGAGAGCTGGAGGGGGACTTTGGACATGGGTCTGCAGGGCCAGGAGCCAGGGAATGGCTGCCAGTGGCAGAGGGCAGGGCTGGATGGGATTTGGGGCAGGAATTGTTCCCTGGCAGGGTGGGCAGGCCCTGGCACAGGGTGCCCAGAGCAGCTGGGGCTGCCCCTGGATCCCTGGCAGTGCCCAAGGCCAGGCTGGACACTGGGACAGTGGGAGGTGTCCCTGCCATGGCAGGGGTGCCACTGGAGGGGCTCTGAGGTTCCTTCCCACCCAGCCCAGTCTGGGATTCTGGGATTCCATGGGTCCAGGTGTGACAAAGCTGAACTCAGCTTTAGAAAGGACAGNGAGGGGGAAGGGTAGGGCGGTCCGAGTTTTGTGAGGGTCTGCAGTGAGATCAGGGGGTTTGGGGTAAGGGGGTTTGCAGCGATGTGTGGGGTTTTGGGGGACTGCAGTGGGAGCCGAAACCCGGGTTTGGAAGGGGTGGGAGGTGCAGTGAGCGCCAGGGTTGGGTGGGTTTGCAGGGACGCACTGGGGTTTGGGGACGGGCTTTGGGGCTGCAGTGAGACCTGGGATGGCGGAGCTGCAGGGGAGCCTGGGCTTTGGGGACGGGACGTGACAGGGAAACCTGGGTTTTGGGGCGAGGCTTCAGTGAGACGTTGGGGTTTCAGAGTAGCGGGAGCTCTGCAGTAAGAGCCCGGTTTGGGGGTGGTTGCAGGGAAACGCAGGGTTTGGGGGAATGGCTACAGTGAGACCGAGGTTTTGTGGCAGAGGAATTGCAGTGAGTGAGAGCTGGTGTTAGGGAGACTGTGGATGTAGCGAGGATGAGTGTGGTGAAGGTGGGACTGTGTGCAGGACAGGACCCTCCTTGCTGGGATGATCAGGGTGTGACAAGGAGCTTCTCCTCCTATTGGGCTGGGGCCCAGGGCGGCAGTGGTGACCTGTTCCCACACACAGCGAGCTCTGGGGCTGTCCCCACCATGAAGGGATCGCAGAGGGGACTGTGGGTTTCCCGGGAGCAGGGCTGGCCCAGGAACTGCCTCCATGGAGCTCAGGACTGCCACACTCCTGCTCTGTGGCTGCTCCATGCAGTCACAGCCATGGAACCCCTGTCGTTCCCGTCTGCTGGTGCCAGGCTGTGTCTTGTTCAAAGTGCTGGGAACCTTGGAAGGAAGCGCTGGAAGTGCCAACAGGCTCTGCCATGGCATTTAAATCCCCAGGGGCTGATTTTGGGCCAAAGTAGGGGACGTCCTTAACGCGGGGCAACAGTGGATCCTGTGTTTATGTGGAGAGGAGGGTGTTTTCCATATTTGTTTCTTCTCCCACACCAGCAGTGATTTAAAAGGCTTCACCTCACCTTCATTGCTTTGTTCTTGTTGTGGGACCCATCATGTGGGCCCATGTTCCAGTTGTCCTTCCAGGGTGGCTCGTGGGGTGTCACTTAAGAGTGAGGGACAATCAGGACAAGTTTGAGGTCCTCAGGGAGCAGATCTCCTCCTGGAGTTGTCTGTGGGGGCTGGGGCAGCCAGGGCTTGCTCACACTTCTCTTGCACCCTGGTGAGGTGGAGGGAAATGGACTTGGGAGAGCGACTTGGAACGATGTGTCTGGGTGCATGAGATTCCCTGTGGGAGGCTGGCTGTGTGGGGATTTATCAGGAAAGTATCCGCGTGTTTAGAAAGGCAATGAACGACTTGTGGGTTTGTGTGGGTGCTGGAGAAAGGTAATCAAAACACTCAGCTGTGAGCCAGGCCGCCCAGAGGGACTGGTTTGGCTCCTGCAAAGACAATCCTTTTGCTCCAAGAGGGAGGCTGTTGGATGTTCAGCCTGTTTCCTGTTGTGCTGGAGGGATTGTTGCCATCCCTCTCAGCATGTGTGCAGGGACAGGTGGGTCTCCAACTTCAGCCCTTCTGGACTGTGTGGCAGGGACCAAAACTGCTCCCAGTTTTTTTCCTGAAGACACCTCTGACAGAAATGCTGCTGCAGTTAAATCTGGGAGCAGAGCCCTGAAAGGTGTGTGGGGTGAGGAGGAAGGTCCCACGCAGCACAGGAAGCATCAGCCGCTCGCTGTCCCCAG